GGCAAGAATAGCACTGATGCTTCTGAAGGAACCTGGAAGTAAGCTCTAGAGGAAAATAGGATGCAAAACTTGAGTAAAAGTTGAGTAACAGCTCCAAAATTGGCTCTTGAAAAAAGATAATACAATGATAAGTTAAAAAAAAGAGCACTTTTAGGGAATAACTAAGTGAGCTCTAATCTTACATGCAACAAAACACAGATCCCATTTCACTGCTGAAATAAAGTGTTTTTGAGGATAAGAGATATGCCTCTGGTTGAAATTACTAAAAGAAATAGTAGAAAAAAATTAGACCTGGTAACAAAACCCAAAAATTTATTCTTTCACAAAATATGTGCTACTGTTATCAGCACTATGCATATACAGAAAGGTAACTGCATAGGTATAACAGGAACTCAGAGATCCAATTAAGTCAACAGATTTGAAACAACATTTTTAAAGTTATGCCCTTAATTTACTTTAAACTCACTCTCATCAACTACAACTTCCAATAAAATGCATTGTTCTATTGTACAGTGCTGGCATAAAAGTTCCCTTTTTTTTTTTTTTTTTATTTAAAGGAAGCATTAAATGGCTTGCCTTTTCCTTTTGCTGATCTATGGTCCATTTCTACTGTAACCTGACTCCCCAATTTCCCTGGCAGTGGTATACGCACTTGGCCAGACTATATATTCTGCAGATCAATTAGTAAAATCTATTAGAAAGCTGCAGCAATGAAGCATACTGCCCAGGTAAATCACTTAAACCTGGGAATGACAAAATTAAGGAAGCACTGGCAGCTTCCTTTACCTCCCTGTACACTTGCAGTTTGCACATGATGACACCCTATGTCTGGGGCTTTTTCCATTCATTAGCAGCTATTCTGAATTTCCTGTGGTTACAGACCCTGTTGCAGCTGTTCCTTTCATCTCTTCACATCTCCCCCGCACTTCTCCTGCCCCTTGCTGTTTCCATCTACTGTCTCACACATGCACCTGTCCTACTCTTGGTGCTTTTTCCTTCACACTCCTATGCCTTCCTTCCTGGTTCTTTCACCTTCCCACACATCTTACTTTCTCTCTCACCCCCTCTGCATTCAAGTCAAGTTGTTTCTTCCTTCTCCACCCTCTTCATTGGTTGGCACAGGTAGGGAGAAGCACTTAGAGCCCAGGAGAAGGTCTCCCTGCTTTTGACGTCCTGTGTTCCTTGCTCTTGAAAGGAACACTTGCATGGAAAGGCCGGCTCAGGATGCAGAGCCCTGGGATGGGACCTGCTCAGTTCACACCACAACTGAGCATGTTCAAACTTGGACATTCCAGAAGCCAGAACTTTGCCAAATTTATGTCCCTGTGCACATTCATCTTAAAAACAATATATTCTACAGTAAAGTCCCTGGTCTAAAGCATTTGGGCAGACGGATTTCCCAATGAACTGGAAGATTTTTTTTTTCCTCTAAACATGGGTAAAATGAATCTCACCTCCTGAAATGGCTGAACTGATCACATATACCTTTCCACAGAATTTCAGCTCAACCAGTTAAAAACTGCAAATGCAGTAGGCTTAATTTTATAGTGGGAACTGTACAGGCCATCTTAACAACAAGCAGCACTTCCTTTAATGAAATTTATAATACCAAAAAAATTAGCAGCACTTCAGATAACCCTACAAGTATTCCACCCTTCCTACCCGCTTTATACCTTACCATGGATGCAAGGGGCTCATTCCCAAACCTCAGTTATTCCAATTAATTTTTAATAATATATTTCACTATAAATGGTATGCAAAGGATACATGCATATGCAGCAAATCCATCATTAGCTGTGTATTTTAGAAATTTAAACTAAAAACCTGCTCTAGAGGCTCATCCATCCACGTGCAATTAAAAATATGATTTTCAAACATTTGGTAATTAGTCAAGCCAGATCTGCTTCTTTCAAAAAAGAAAAATGACCCTTAAAAATGCACGCGCTTCTTTGACACAATACTATGCACTATTCTTGGTACCAATGACTTGACAAGGGATCAAAATGAAAAAAAAAAAAAAAGTCGTAAGTTTAAATTACAGCTATCCTTATATTTACTGCTATTATTAATAAATTACCAGTCTTGCTTATTCTCTGCAATAGAGAGAGAAATTAACTGTAAACAATAAGAAGAAAAAAAATGTTATTTTCCCTACTGCTTTTTTGGGTCTCTTTAACCTTAATATTGTAAATCTGGTTACTGGAAAAAAAGTCAACTCTACTCCTGAAAGCATTTGATGTATGCATGATTCAGCCATCAAATTTTACTCTTCCAAATTCGATGCATATAAAAAGACGACACCCTACCAGTGGTAAAACTTGAAACGAGGTCTCCAGTTTGGAGTTCGTAAAAGGGTCTGTACTGCACAGGCCAAGTTCACAAACATATAGCACATGAGGAAAAACCTGTGGGGGGAAAAAACAACAAACCACATTTTAAAAAATAGGAAATAGACTCTATAGCCCTCCAGTATAGGAATAAACAACTGTATGTTAAAAAAAGGGTCAGATGAACTTTAACCCATCTATTATCTATCTATCAATTTTGGAGGAAGCTGTAAAAAACAAACAAACACTATAATGAACAAATCAAAAGATGGGAAGAAACCATCTCCCAATAGATTAGAACCCTTTTTTTTTTTTAAATACTTTGATGAAACAGTGTTTATATCCCTCAAAAATGTGGCTATTGTAGCTCCAGATTCAAATAAGCCTTTAATCCTTTTATTATTTTGCTAGAGTTCTATATTGAATGATACATGTGACTACGTTCCACAAACTAATTGTGCTTTGTTAAAAAAGTAGTCCTTACCAATTTTAAAATGTAGTGGCTTTTAAAATTTCACCAGATATCCTTTTGGCCTTGTGTTTGAAAAAAGGAGGAACAGAAATGCCCAATACAATTTTTATACTGCACTGGTTCTCTATAGTTTTCTAAATTGCAAGTCAAGTTGCTAGCTTTGACCTATGAGATCCTAAACAATCTGGACCCACCATACGTAAGGGACAGTTTTCTCCCTTACACCCCACCATGACCCATTAGATCAGTGAAGATCAATTCATCTGTGAGCAGCAT